ATTGTTTTGTGGCTACAACCCAAACAAATTTTAGCAGAAATTAAGAAAAATTTCCATCACTGTCCTCTCAAAAAATTTCCATAGAACTGTAATTGTTCACAGTGGCGTATCATGTTCTGATAAAGCCATGAATTTCAAAAGTTCTACTGTTGCTTGGACGGACTTGACCTTGCTTCATTTTCTGCTACTATTTGGATGCTTTTTCAGTTCCAGGACGTTCATTACTCTTATTTTCCATAATCTTGATTTAAATACAAAGTTGCCAGCACTAAGGTATGTTTTGGCTTTTAAGTAATAATGCTATGATTAAGTCAGCAGAAATCAATCTATAGCGAATCAAGAACTATGCAGACTCAATTTTCTTAGTGAAAGATGGAATTTTTTAGTTGTAGAGGAGGTAGAGCAACATAGCAATTTTTTATTCCATTTAGTAGCAACAGGTTAGTTACATTGTTCTCATCCTCATGTCAGGAAATGTACGTGTTCCTGTGACAAATCAGATTGTCACTTGAAAGGTCTTTTAAAATATGAGAAGCAGCTGTCAGTGAAGCATGTGACTATGCCACTAAGAATGAAGAAATGATGGAGGCTTTTATATGGGTAAAGAAGCCAATGCTTTTTAAGGCAGCTCAGAATAAAAAGGGGCGTGATGTGACCAGCATGGAAATCTGCTGGTTATGTGCCTTCCTAAGCACATTCTGCCATCAGTGCATTCCTTCTGTCGTTGTGATGTTAATTCCTGTTAGAGAGTCCTGGTGATGCATGCTTAACTTAGTGAGAAATCTTCCTGTGGGTGTAGATGATTTCGTTGGGGCTGAATAATTTTCAATGCCTGTAGCTGCAAGACTGCACCACTCTTTGTATGCTCAAAGTGAATACCCACTGTTATTCCTTTAAGTAAACACAAAATTTTCTGATTTTCCTTGCTTTTGCAATGTGCATGCTAGACATTCTTTTAGTTATAAAATTAAGATAAAATTCATTCATCTGTAATTATATTATCTCATTTGGCATCTAACTCTAGGACAAGAAATCAGTGATTTAATTTCCTTTCAAAGTCTTTGTCTATCAGATACAGAACCAGCTTAGTAATTACCTCAGTCATTGTGAGAACTGTGCCTTCAATATTACATTCCTAATTGTTTTTAGATAAGGAAATTTATTTTTATAGCACATTCAGCTGACTATTGCAGGTCGGATGATTCTCCCTTATTTTCAGTGTAGATAGCAAGGTCTATAGATTATATTAAGAGAAATTAATATTGTCCTTCTGGTACATACAATAGGATGCATAAAAAGTACTTACTTGAGTACACAATATATTTTGATTTTATATGAGAAAATTTAATCCAAAATAAACATGTTCAATAAATATTCACAGAACACCCCAGTAGAGATCTGTAGTGTGCCTGAAACTTCCAAGACCTTCATCATCACATTAAAATTAGTTTTATATTATAACTGTGGGTGAGATAAACGCATCCTTTGTGTGGAAATATCATGTTTATGGTCCAGTCAATTGTGCAGGAATAATCTGTATATTTTCAACCACTAATTCACAAGTCTCTGGTTGGGAAAATTTTACTACATGCCTTGAGCTGAATTAAACACCAGCTTGTGCTTAAATACAGAAGATTTAATGTACAGTGCACTGGGCAGTCTTATCACCATAAGCTGCCCTTCCTGGTGCATGCAGAGGTGGATCAGGAGTTGATTCCTTATGTACTCATTCAGTGGTACCAATCCCATGATCGTTAACCCAATATTGGATCCATTCTCCATCACAGTTCTGCTGCCCCAAGGTGGCCTTCGGCCTTTGAGCACTTATGTCCATGAGTGATGGATTGCTGCAACACAACTCTGCAATGTACCTCATTCCCAAGGGAAACTTCACTCCCTTATAGAGAGTCCTTCTGTCCTGTTACTCCTATTCTGTCCAAACCGTTCAACCTCTTCTGCATTCTTGTCCTCCATGCCACATCATTTTTTTGATCACAAATTACCAAGTTTTAGCAGCTACAGTTTGATTTTCCCCTTCACTCTACTGTGTATGCACACAAGCCCCCTAACTTGACCACTCTTTCCAGATTTTCAGAGGATCAGCAAAACGGCAACTGCCGCAAAAGGTTGCTCTTTCAGCAGAGAATGACGGCTTCTTTGAAATGTGGGAGCACTAGAACTATAACATGACAACCCTTGAGAAAAATTTCTACCTAACACCATAGGCTGTAAATCCTTCACCAACTGAACCATCACATTTTTGATACTTTATGATTCATCACAGTGCATCTTGTTCTGTCATTGATGCAAAGCTCAATGTCTCAATTCCATCACTGGCATAATTTTGTTTCTAAGAGCTCATAAGATCATAGCTAGCGGACTAGATCATAACTAGCAGTCAAAAGAAAATCCAGCCCATAGCCCATTGCTCCTTGGAGTAAACTAATCCCACCACCTGATGTGTTGATATATGTATGTCTTTTTGTTTTACAAATCAGGATTCCTATTTTTGCATTTGAACAAACTGTGCCAGAGAGTGAATTAATTAGTTCTTGAGATGAAATAAATTGACTAGGTACATGAAGTATGTTAGTCTCTTGTGAGATTGTTCTAAGCATATGAAAATTGTGGGGTTTTTTTTTTAATCAAATAAATGTTTCAGAATATATGTACTTTTCAAAAAGTACTGTTCCTTAGTGAAATGTAGTGTAGTCATCACTGAAGAATGTCAGCTACTTTCTCATCAGTGATTAATGGAGCTGATAGTCTTGGCTTCAATGTCATTTTGTCAAGAATCCAAGAAATATATCATTCTTAAAAATACAGTAATTGGAGGATCAGGGCCTGTGAGGTCACTGGAAATCTTTTTCTGTATTGAATTTGGCAAAGTACAAACCAAGTTGACAATAATTTTTAACATCAGCTGTTACATCAGCTGAAGTCTGAACCACCATTTCAATCTGAATAATTGAAAAGCATTTTGTAGATAGTATCATGAAATAAGAGTTGTGGGATTTTTGAAAAGAACATTAGCAAAAGATCTGTTTGGGAATACTCACTTAAAATCAGAATCCCATCATATGTACAGCAGAAAGAAAGCTTTGATGAAATAAACCTGATAATTCTTATGCTTACAGTGTGATAGAGACATGTATTCTATTAAGTTAAAATTTACAGCTAAAAAATTACATTCTTCAAGTGCTTTTTTTCATAGCTGGAGGGAATTTTTTCATACTGTTTTAAACATCAGTGTGTTTATCTGAATCATTCGAGTTAGAAGGAAGACCTGTTTCCTTGAATTTAATGCATTTGTTTAAGGTTCATTTTTGAGATACTTGATTCAAATAAGCAAATTTTAATTTTGGGTGGTTGTTGTTTCATTTTGTATTTTTTTAATTTTATTCTTCTGCAACAATACTTATCTAAAGATAAATATTTACTTTTAGAATAAAAAAAGTAAATTTACTTTTTTTTGTATGCAGGTTAATGCAATTGAAAATGTTTGTCAGGAGTTTGAGTGTCTTTAAAGTTAAATAAATTGCTGAATTGCTGGCATGTTTATCTGTACACAAAAATATATAATTAATGAGAAAACTATAATTTGGGTACGTCAAAAAATCAGAACTTATCTCTAATAAGACACAAGACATGTTGTTAAAGGTGAGGAACTATACTTTTACTTATGCTAGCCAATAAAACAACTGCTTTAGAGACAAGGTTACTCTGATTCTTACACCACTGGGATTGCTTTTACAGAGGCCACTTAGTGCCACAAACAAAATGTCTTGGATCATCCCCATACAACTGTGTATTTTGCTATAAAACATATCAACCTGTGAAATTTGGGTGAATAGGATGTTTCTACTATCTATATCATAATAAGGCAAGCTCTGTAATAGAGTAACAGTAACTAACTTGGACTGTAGCTTTATCATATTTCAATGGTGGAAGGTAAATTCACGCTTACAGAAAATTGGATGTGGCAAGTTTGATATTTTATGAATTAAGACATTTTCAAAGGGATGCGGGATAAACTAATATTTTCAGGCAGTATTTAAAAAAATATGTTCCAATGCTATACTCATACATAGGCAAGTCTGTATAGATCTACAGTAGTATAAGTATACATTTATAAATATATATCTATGGTAGAACAAGGGATGACAATGACATACTACCACAGAAGTATCTTCTCTCAGAAAAAAATATGCTGGCATCGTCTGTTCGTCAATGGGGCTTTGATATCTTGAACTCAAGGGGTAAGATACTTAAATAAAATAATTATTATTTTTTTTTTATTTTCTGAAATCACTCCACAGACAGAGGAGCAAAGGATATGTTCCAATTATACAACAGAGTATGAGAGTGTGTGGTGACATTCACCTAACATGTACAAAACAAAAGTTAGGATGAGAAAAGGCTTATCAAGATGTTCCTTGGCAAAATAAACTGTTCCCAGCACTGTGCCTATAATGCTTTGTCCAATGTGTTGACACTGGTAAACCAAAGGTCCAGTCATTACATTCTCCTTCATTACAAAAAAGCTGAGTAAGAAGTTGGTGCTAGGTATTTTCTTTCTGTCACCTGTGAGATTAGTATTTATTCTTCAACAGTTTGTTGGTTAACTGCTGCTGCAGTAAATGGTGCTGCAGAGGGACTACAAAATATAGTAGATACCCACTTCATAAAATGGTTGCTTTAGAAAAGTTTCTTGCTAGGCTTCATAATATAGAATGAATGTAAATCCAGGAAGGGAGGCTGGAGTGAGGAGGACGGGATAGCACAGTGAAACTTCTTCTTGGAAAACTCAAAAAAGGAACTGAGGGACTGAAGAAATTGCACTCATTTCTTGAAGGTAACTGGAAATAAAACAGGAGCATGCTGCTAGGTAATAAAGGAGTTTGAAAACTGTGATGAACAAAAGCCTTCAGAGAACAATGACTTTCATCCTAAACTAAATTAGTTTCAATAGTGTTAATGAAGGAATTTTCTTTTCAAAGGTGCTGTGATTGTCTCCAGGACTTGGACCCTCTAAGTTTTAAGGTATGTTGTTTATGATTTTCATAGTAAAACAACTCAATATGCATATGCCTTCTATTGCTGTTTGTGTATATGTTGCAAGACAGTTAAAAATTAAACTGGTTTTGTCTTACATTTGCAAATGCTAAGAATTTTTTTCTCTAATGGAACAGGTGGGATGTATGTATTTTTTCTTCTTTTGCCTGGCAAAAATGACCTGGATCGCAGGTCATATACGTCATCATTCTTAAACAGATGAAATAGCTTTAAAAATTTATAGACTGATAAGTTTTATTCTGTTTTGTGGTTTACACTTGTAAATTATGAAGTCTGAAAAAGAAAGAAAAATACAATCTCTGCATTATTATATTGAACTTTTCTTTACTGAGCCTTCATTTTGATTGACTGTGTATCAAAGGTCATGTTCCTGTAACTCATTATTTGAGAACCTCATCTTTCCATTTTTTTATAAAATAGGGTGCTTGGTGCAGCACGGATAGGACTAGAGGGGGAAAAGGAAAAGAGTTGAAGGAAGGGAAGTTCAAGGAAGGAAAGTTCTGGGAAGTTCCAGGAAGGGAAGTTCCAGGAAAGGAAGTTCCGGGAAGTTCCGGGAAGGGAAGGGAAGTTCCGGGAAGGGAAGTTCCGGGAAGGGAAGGGAAGGGAAGAGAAGTTCCGGGAAGGGAAGGGAAGTTCCGGGAAGGGAAGTTCCGGGAAGGGAAGGGAAGTTCCGGGAAGGGAAGGGAAGTTCCGGGAAGGGAAGGGAAGGGAAGGGAAGGGAAGGGAAGGGAAGGGAAGGGAAGGGAAGGGAAGGGAGTATTTAGTTGCCAACTGGAGTTTAAACACAACAGTGATTTAGAGCCCTTCCTTCCTTCCGCGACTTCCTTCCGCCACTTCCTTTCTTCCTCCCTCCTTCTCTCCACCTTTTTTCCTGCTCCAGGCTGATTACACTAGTGTTATAGAACAGTGAAAATTTTTAATATCCTTTGAATGCCTTTGAAAACAAACTGGTCCTTTTTCTGGGATCCAGGATGTTGCTGAATTACGGTTGACGTATTTTTTACATTGACTTTTGTTTCACTGTACACTATAGCTCCAAAAAGACCTCCAAATCTGTATGAGATTGTGATAGCACCATCACAGTACTTTCTATTCTGAAAGTTCCCATTCTTTGTACCAATCACCTTTCACCTTTCTTGTTTTGTTGCTGTGCTGCCTCTGTCTAACCCACTGACAGGTCTCAAAATTCAGAACGAGCATTTAAAGCAAGTCGTCAGAACTGATATTATATTGCATCCATGTGCTTTTCTCTCAGCTAGCTCTTTTTATCCACCCTTTGTCTGATTTAACTGTCCAAACTCTTTATTTAAGCGTTAAACCCTTGGGTCAATTAATGGTCCATAACATTTATACTGTCAGATGCAACATGAAACTCCTGCTATAGTGCCCTCTTTTTCCATTAGCACTATTAAAAAATTATGATAAAAAAATAGAGTGAGAGATTAATATCTCCCTGGAGTTTATACAGAACAAACCAAAGAGCAGTTATCCACATCTCCCATTTCTTTCTTCTTTGAGACCTAGGCACAGTCATGAAATTGCTAAGCAAGACCAGCAAAATGCTAATAGTGCAATTAGCAGTGCAATTCTCAAACCTGAGTGGAATTTCAGGCCATCACAGAATCTAAGCTCCCAAGGTGTAAAGAAATAGCAGAGTGCTGTCACCAGTAATATCATGAAGTTTCTCATATGCAGAAATTGGATTCTGCTTCAATAAAACATCCCTGAACAAAGGAAATGCAAAACATAGCCATTTATATTGTTTCCATGATGGTGTATTGTACCTACAGAATGTGTAGGCTTATTTTGCATGCCTTGCTTGTTTGATTTTGTTAGCCCCTACTAAGTAGCACACTATTAGGTTTCTGTTCTGTGGGAAGGTGTTTTTAAAAGTATTCTCCAGACTTTATCCTTACTGTCTCTCCAGTATTACCTCAGTTCACTTTCAAAAATTGGAATGCAGTTACGGTAAAAATGAACAAGTAGAGGATGAAATTGATGTTAAATATTAAACCTGTCTATTTAAATGGGGTTCTGAAGAGTTAGATATAGTGGCATGTCCTTCTTGTGCAGATTCTTTATTTAAATTCTAGTTTTGTTGGATATCCATGACTTCAAAAGTCACAGCTAATATTCTTCCATGAAACCCACTGTCTTAGAAAAGTAAAGACAAAATAAACTTTCTCTTTTTTTGCTGTTGTAAAAGATTATGTTATTATAACAGAGTTTACACTGATGCATCTCAAAGCACTGTGAAGTAAACAGAAGTTGTGATGATTTTTTTTCATTCTTTCATTTTATAAGACTTCATGGAATCACAGAATGGATGAGGATGCTAAGCATGTCTGGAGATAGCCTAGTTCAGAGCCTCTGCTCAAAGCAGAGTCATCTAGAGTAGATAACTTAGGACAATGTACAGTCAGATTTTGAGTATCTCCAAGGATGACAACCTCACAATCTCCTGGGGAACCTACTCCAGTGTTCAAACAGCATTGCAGCAGAAGTTCTTCTCTTAATGTTTAGACATAACTTCATTTATTTCAGTTTGTGTTTGTCTCTTGTCTCACCACTTGGCATTAGTGCAGAGTTTAACTTCATCTTCTTCAGTTGCTCCAGATATATATTTATACACATTGATAAGATTCCCCCAAGTCCTTTTTCTCCATGCTGGAGAGTCCCAGCCACTGTCAGCCGCTACTCATGTAAGACAAGCTTTGATCCACTCTCTCTGTGACCCGGTGCTGAAGTTGCTCTAGTGCGTTCATATAATTTGTTTCAGAGAGGGCACAGATGTGCACAGTCCCCTCAGTCTGTCTCACCAGGTGCAAAGCAGAGGGGAAGAATCAAATGCCTCGATCTGCAAGCAACACTTCTGCTAATGCAGACCCTCTTTGCTGCAAAGGCAACATGCTGCAGCATGGTCAGCTTGTCTCCCAGGAACTCCAGATTCTTCTCTGCAGATCTGGTTTCCAGCCAGTCACCCCCCACCATGAACTTATGCTGGGAGTGTCCTTCCTCCCCAGACATAGGGGTTTGCATTTTCATTGATTGAACTGCATGAAGTTCCTGTTCATGCATTACTCCAGCCTGTTAATGCTCTCTAACATGCAGTAGATCCATCTGATGTATCAACAACTCCTTCCTGGTTTGTATTATCTTCAAATTACTGAAGGCAAATTCTTCTAAACTTCTGTATGTGGTGGTGGAACACCCCTGAGCTTTGTAGAGGTGTTCCTTGAAAGTCAATCATCTTTTCCCCTAAAAAGTAAGGAAAAAAGTGACAGTAAACACAAGTGGGCCTGCTGAAAGAACTCTTCAGAAGATTAAAAGAAATCAAATTCCTAAATAATTTTTTTTTGCTTTTGCTGTCCACAGTGATCTAAATTTCATTTATGAGCTCTCCTGATCTAAAGCTTTGCCATGGATTCTGAGTCAAAAATTGCTGGCAAGCAATAGATGTTATCATTGTTCAGCCTTTCCTTTTCTGAAAAATTAAAACTCATTGAGTAGTCAAGGTATAAACTTGCGCCTGGGATACGAACACAAAATTTGAGTCTTATGCTAGGTGAGTTGTTTTTTCTGGAAATATCAGACACTATACACACCAGGGAAATCACAGGTAGTTTGCTCTTTTGTTTCCCTGCTTCCCTACTTTGTGTTGATTCTTAATTAATTCATATAAATCCTCCTAAATTCTCATGACATTGTTTCTCTTTATTGCTTAATATTTCTTCCTCGGATTTCTCTTCAGACCTCAGCTCCTCATTTATTTATGTTGGTATCTTCTTGCTCTGTTGATTTTTATGGTGGATCTGACCTATGAAACATAATTTATCAGGTGTCTTAGTTTAAGCCTGGCTGGCAACTAAGCCCCTCCTTATATACCCACTCCTTCACTCCCTCCTGAAGGGTGAAAGTGAGTAAACTTTTGTGGATTAACATAATGACAGTTCAATAGGCAAAGCAAAGGAAAACAAGGAAATCATTCACTACTTCCCATCCACAGGCAGCTCTTCAGCCATCTTCAGGAAAGCAGGGCTCCACTATGCTTAATGTAGAATTGGGCAGACAAACGCCATTTCTCCAAATCTCTCCTCCCTTTCCTCTTTTCCCTCCAGCTTTATATGCTGAGCCTGATGCCATGTGGTATGGGATATCCCTTGGGTCTTTTGGGGTCAGCTGTCTCAGCTGTGTCGCCTCCCAGCTTTCTGTGCACCCCTCAACCTCCTCACTGGCGGCATAGGTGAGGAGAAACAAAGGCCTTGTGTCTGTCATAGCACTGCTCAGCAGTAGCAAAATATGCCTTTGTTATCAGTATGGTTTCTAGAACAAATGCAAGCAGAACCCCATACAATTAATAGGGAGAAAACTAATCCCATCCCAGCCAAAACCAGCAAAACAGAGGATCAAACATACCTTTTCCTTGACTTTTTTTTTTTTTAATGCTCTGTATTCAGAGCTTAATTATTTATAGGAGATCTTGCAAAGCCACCTATGGCCACATATTTGAGTTTTATCCTTGAAATCTCTTCATACCTCTCAGCCAACGCTTGTCTTGCATGTAGTCCATAGTCTTTGTCTTTCTCTTCCTCATTTCACTCTCCAATCCAGTGAAGGATGGCCTTGGGCCTTTCTGAAGAAGGAATCTTCCTTTATGGTGTCCTGAACTAACAGGATCCCCATTTGTTAGCACAGGTGTGTGGGTTTGGGTTAGCATACTAGAGGAAATTTTGCCTGCTGCTCCATCTGTTGGTATTTAGAGATAAATACCTACTCTCACTGGGTTAAACACCATTCCTATCTACTTTTTCTGCTCCAGATTGTTCTAATTTTAAGCAGTTTTCTTTTTCTTTTGACACCAAAATTGGCTGGAGAATAAACTTTCTAGCACAATATGAGGTATTAGAAAGCAGGTGTTCTTTATTACAATGCTGGACACATTTGGAGGATTTTCCTCTACTCAAATGTGTGCAGGAAAGTTTACAAGAGGTTATTTATTCCATCAGGATCATACACATTCATTGCAACATACTTCCTAGCTAATAGATAAATATAACTTTTCCTAGCACTAACTTGTATACCTTATCCCTTTTACTGGAACTCCTTTTGTGGTCTTAGAGGGTCATGTAAAGGAGTTTCTGGTGGTTCTATTCACTGACAGCCCCCAAAACTGGAAGTGGCCCTGCCTTACACTATTCTTAGGGCATGCACTGTTCTTTTTTTTTACAGAAGTTTGCCACAAAAATCACTTAGGTTCCTCATTGTGTGTTTATCCACTGATTCCAGCTACATTTACCATCCTGTGTGTCTACTTTCACATTCTTTTAGCTAATTGATTGTTAGTTTTAAGCTTTATCTTGCAATTTCAAGGGAACTGAAAATTTTTATCTTCCATGCTATCACTTTAGAGAAGTAAATGGTTAAGGTCAGGCATCACTTCTCATTTTGACCATTTCAGCCCAGTTTCTCTTTTTCTGACTCAAGAATGTCCCCTGTGTATGCTATTATCAAATTCTAGTTTCTGGAGAAACTTTATCCCTCTTATTACCTTCTGCCTTTGTCACTTACATTAAATATCAAAATTGATCATATATTTTGGATGTATCCAAATCTGAAATCTTAGTTAATTTCTTTCCTGTAAGATGCAGAAATATCACACAGTTTTAAAAAATATTTGGAGTATTTAACTTTCAATATACACAATCCAACATATTCTGAAGATTTTATGAATAAAATTTTCCAGTGCATTTCTGCGAAATGCAAGATGGAAGATGCACATAAAATCTTTACTTTTTGTTTACACTCCTTTAGGTGTCTGTGATATTATGCTTCTGGAGAAAAATTTCTTGCTTCTCCCCAGGAGGTGTCATGATGGAAATTACAAGCAAAGATAAAGAATCCTTTCCCATGTATTTTGAGTTCCACAGTAGATTTATTATGATAGTGTGAATATTAGTGTGTTCATTCCTCAATTTCAGTAAAATTCTGTTCTGTGTTGGACAATGGAGACCCAGGCATCAATCAGGGACTGATCTATATGCACTGGATTAGATGGAAAAAAAAACCCACGAGCACCTCAATGCAACATATTCAGTTGATTTTTAAAGTATGTTCCACTAATCTTTATCTTTGCCTGCATTCATCTTGCCTAGCGTATGATGAAAACAGTACTGTAATTTCTGGTCATTTAGCCCAGTACCATCCGAAAACCATGGATATAATTGCTCTTCCATTTGAAGTCATGGATGATAAATTTTTTTGGCTTGGAACTTTGTTTTTCATGGAAATGCATTATGCTTCAGATGCACTGAACTGTCACTTCCAAATTGGGCAAAGACTGATGAAGGCTGAACAACAGTTTCTCTTTTGATTCATTCATTTTACTTCAGTTGCTGCAGGTTAAATGAAGGCTGAAGGCTTTAATTTGCTTAGAAGCCACACTATATTTTAACTTTAGAAATATTTGCAAAACTAATTTTACTGTAATTTTCTTTCAGATGTTTCTCAATGCAGATAGAATGTTTTCTTTTTATCATATGTACATATGCATGGAATTAACACTTCTGTACACGTGTTTGCCTTCTCTCTATTAAAAACTATATGCAACATTCGTGGAAGGGGAACATACAGAACTTTTGAGATGTTTAGGAGCAGTGCTCTTTAAATTTCAACAAGGACTGAAATAACAATTTGGGGCTCTTAAGGAAAGCATAAATCAGTGTATCACCTGGATGAACTTACCTTATCTGAGTGCCATTTGGTATTTTCCATGATATCTGTTCATTGGTCCAAACATTTCAGTGACAGAGAACAGATGGTAAACCAGCTTTTTAAGTAAACTTATCTAAATTATTCATCCTTTTAGTGAAAGAGGTAGGTGCACTGTAGTTTAAGCTCTGAAATAAAACTAGCTAGAATGTAGCGGAAAGGTCCACTTGAATTCTAAGTCATATGAGAAGCGTCTGAGAGAGTAGGGGTTGTTTACCCCAAAGAAATGAAAGCTCAGGAGAGACCTTATAATTGTCTACAAGTATATGAAAGGAGAGAGTGGAAAGACAGGGCTTTGCCAGAAAACCAGTGACAGGTTTCTTATCCCAGAAAACCAGTGACAAAACAAGAGAATGTAGCCTTGAATAGCTCCCAGTAAGTTTGAGGTTTGATGTCATGGAAGGTTTGATGTCATGTAAGCATTTGAACTGACTGCCTGAGGTGGTGGTGGAGACATCACTCCTGCAGGTGTTTCTAGAAATGACTGGACCTGGCATTGGTTGTATGGTCTAGATCAATCACAGGTTGGACTCTATGATCTTAGAGTTCTCTTCCAACATAAATCCAAAAATAACAGAATATGCCAAGGTGGAAGGGACCCACAAGGATTGTCAAAGTCCAACTCCTGGCCCTGCACAGGGCATACACCAGAGTCACACCTTGTTCCTGAGAGAATTGTCCAAAAGCTTTTGAACTCTGTCTGATCAACTTCTCTGAGGTCCCTGCTCCAGTGCCCAAATACCCTCGAGTGAAAACGTCTTCCTGATATCCAACCTAAACCTCTCCTGACACAACTTCAGGTCATTCTCTTGTGTCCAGTCACTGCTCACCACAGAGAAGAGATCAGTGTCTGCTGCTCCTCTTCCCCTCATGAGAAAGTTGCAACTGCAATGAGCTCTCTCTTCAGTCACCTCCAGACTGAACAGGCCAAGTGACTTCAGCCTCTCCTCATATGTCTTCACCTCAAGGCCCTTCACCATCTTTTTTGACCTCCTTTGGACACTCTGTAATGGCTTTACCCCTTTCTTACACTGTGGCACCCAAAGGTGCCCCCAGGACTCAAGGTGACACCGCCCCAGTGCAGAGCAGAGCCCCACTGATGATGCTGTTTCTGATGTCCCCAGTGACACAGTGATCGTCCTGGCTGCCAGGGCACTGCTGACACATGTTCAACTTGCCACCAACCAGGACTCCCAGGTCCCTTGCCATGGCACTGCTTTCCAGTATCTCACTCCCCGTTGTGTACATAAACCCATGATTGCCCAGTCCCATGTGCAGAACCTGGCACTTGCCCTTGTTGAACTTCATATTTGGGATGATTGCCCAGCAGTCCTATTTGTCCAAGTCTCTCTGCAGGGTCTCCCTGACTTAGGGGAGATTCAGCACACTCTCCCAATTTTGTATCAACTGCAAACTTACTTAGAATCCCTTCTAGTCCTGTGTCCACACAGCTAATGTAGATGTTGAGCACAGGACTGAGGATGGAGGCCTGTGGAAGGCAACCAATGACAGTTCCTCAATCTGATGTCACCCCATTCATTGTAATCCTTTGTGCCTGACCTGTAAGCAAGACACATAGACTTGTGATTGCTCACCTATCTCAGGATGTTTTAATCCAGCTGTGTGCTGGCTATTTTGTCCAGAAAATTTCTGTGAGGCACAGTATCAAAAGCTTTACTTACTGAAATGCAAAATGATTACATCAACTGGCTTCCCTTGATCAGCTAAGTGGGTTGCCTTGTCATAAAAAGAAAAAAGGTTTGACAAGCAGGACTTTCCCTTCAAGATGCCATGCTGGCAACTGTGCTGTCATTCAGGTTCCATTTAGTTTTCCAGTTTCTCCCAGAATAGTCTTCTCTAAAACCTTACCAGGGAGTGAAGTGAGATTGACAACCCTGTATTTTCCAGTCTCATTCTTCTGGCCCTTTTTAGAGATTAGAAGAACGTTCCTCAGCTTCTTGTCAGCTGGGACCTCTCCAGATTCCCAAGACCATTCAAAAAATCATCAAGAGAGGCTTTGCAAAGAAATCAGCTAGCTCTATGAACTATTTTTGAATGAATTTTTTCCCTAAAATGGTAAGCAGCATTTCTGTATTCCTCCCACACTACCCAATGTTGCTCTCACTTAAACCTTCCTTTTTTTGCCTTATCTTCAAAAGAAGATCCCTGACAGGCAGGCTGGCCTTTTGTCCTGCTTGCTTGACTTCTGACACTTAGGAATTGCCTGTTACTGTGCCCTTTGGAAGTGGTGCTCAAAAAGTGTCCAGAATTGACTGACTCCAGTGACTTGAAAAGCACTTTTCCAGGGACATTCCTCATTAGTTCCTTAAGCAGAAGTCATTAGGTGATTTTGTGAATTACTGGCAGGTACTTCTAAATGGTAGCAAATTTCTTCAAGAAATATTGCAACTATACAGAAGCAGAGATCTAGATTAATGTTGCAAACATCTTTCAATATACCACCTGATTATTCGTTTTGCTTAGTAAAGAGAAGAGCCTACTATTGCAATCAGTTTGCATTGCATCATCCAGATGGATGGTACAATTTTCCATTAAAGATATTCAATAAAATGGTACTCAGCAAAGTTCTCATGGAACAACTAACTACAGTTAGTTGTACTGAAATATTTCCATGACCTTTCTCAGATAAGATTCTGATTTGCTCAGAAGAAGAAACTATTTTTGAAATTCAAATGAGAAAGGACTTACAAGTCTATGTCTGAAAATCTGTGATTTTTTTAAAAAAACATAAATACTATTTCTTATTCCTGAGAGTTTTAATGGATCAATAAGTGCAACAACATTGCATATACTCAGCTAAAGTTTGTTCTCTGGAACATGAGCTTCTCAGTCATTGTCTTGTTCACCAAGAGATATTGATGGTTTTATACTCCTTTATAATGTAGCCATTGATAAAGTGCTCGTATTTCCTTATACTAGGACATGGTTGAGTATATTTCTATAAAAATGTAAGAATATCTGCATTTTCCAGGTCTGTTTCAGGCATTATGAGTGTGGTGTCCTAAGAGATGCTGTTGTCCATGAGAGGCTGGGATTATTATGATCAAGTGCTGTATTTTGACTTCACCCAGTGGCTTAAAGATTTGTGGGGTGAAGAAGAAGTGTTGGACTTTTAAGAGAATTAAACAGGTAAGTCTATTGAAATAGTTTTGGGTTTTTTTATTGTCAGTTTTCAGGTTTTTTCAATTGCAAGTTCTATCTCAGTGCTCCCTCTGTCCAAAAAAAAATCTATTTCACAATCACAAATGCAAATGACTTTCACAATTTTTATTCTGAGCAGCTCTTTATTTTGTACAGGAAACTGTTTTCTTTAGAGAAAAAAGAAATTACAAAAGGAGACAGAGTTATTTCCTTACATTGTGATAGAAAGAAGAATCTCTACACCCAATAGCATAGAGCCACTGTGAGAGCAATAAAAAAAAAAGTAAATAATTCAGTTAACAGAGTTTAGTGGCATCTATGTACATTATTTTATCAAAACATTGTTAGATGTATGAATTTTAGGGCTGATTTTCTGTTTATTTTACCATAATATTTGGTTTATTATTAGATACTGAGAAATGTCTTTCATCTCTAAGACTCCTGTTTAAACAATCCATCTCATTTCTTAGAATAACCTGCAGAAATCAATTGACCTAAGATAAGGCAATGTGGTAAGGATGCACTAAAACATTGCCAAAAGTCAGTCTGTCTTATCTGATTTTGATGGATGTTTCACTAGGCAGGGGAAAGATCAAGAACAGTTTTGTATCTTTTTTTCTGTATGTTGCTGTAACTTTTATCTTTTCAAGTAAGAATCTTGAAAACTATGCAGGATCATGGCACTCTGGTACAAACTAAATCTAAGAATCAAGACAATGTGTTAAGCTAAGATTCTTCCAGCTTATCGGTGATTTTCTCCTTGGTAAAGAATAAAGAATTGATAATTTATTTACCAGATCTAGTCAAAACTGTCCTGAAGTATGTCTAGGGCAGCAATAGATACTGCTGAACAAATTCCAGGCTTAGGCCAATGTGAATTGTACCCTACAAATAGACAGTTTGGCTCAGGAAACATGAGGGCAGTGCTCAGGTGACACTGTACCTTGTGATCTGCACGGTACAACCTCCAGACAGGACCCCATGAGTAAAAGACAGCCAAAGAGAAGTACAGAAAACTGTCTTCACATCCATTTCTCCAGACTTTAGGTTTGGAGTACACTCAGATAGAGGCAGGTCAGCTGTATCTGTATCTATTTCACAGCTGCACTACCATTGTATTCTACCTGTTTTCAGAAAAAAGTATTTGCAACAGAATCATTTTTGTAACTGTCAAGAAAAATACATATTGACCACTTATTGCTGCAACTGAACTAATCTCTGATATCAAAACTAGTAATTTAACTAATAGATTTTTAACAGATTGCGTTTTTTAACGTTGAAAAACTAAAAAAAATTTAAAAGGGAAAATCTTGGCAAGTGACTGAAATATGACTAAAAGTTTCATAAACACAATGTTACAACTCATCATCCCCATCATAACCGGGGAATTTTCATGCTGATATATAGTGAGAAGAAAAATGTTTAAAATAACAATATATATAGTATTATATATGTATATGCGTGTTTCTAGTTTCACTTTATTTCCCTATAGAAATCTACAGCCTTTTAAAATGCTCTTCTCATGTGTCTGTATTTCTTATAGTAGCTTTATTCTGGTGATGTGAGAGGGAAGTTGGATCAGGATTGTTATTCAGGATCCTGTTGCATCAGGATTGTTTATGCTTCACTAATATTTATCTCCTTAAGACTCAATTTTTTAATCCATTTTTAAAAGAAACTGTAACATTTAATTTAAAAGTTATCTATGAGATAGAAGTCAACAGTGATAGAAGTCAAGGCTTTCAGACTATGTAGTATGCGGAACACAAGAAGCTAATCGCACATGCAATTCTTATTTTGCCTTTCAGAAAATATTACTTTTTCTCTGTGCTGTCCCTCATTTGTAGTAGTCTTTGGTGATCTGTACTGTAAAAACTAAGTACGCTTAAACTGTTATTACGTTTGTTGTCACAATAACGGTTCAAACTTTTCACCATTTACATCAAAGGATAAACTGTTTCCAGCTTTCTATGATGCACTTCTGGCTGAAAAAATGGCCCAAAAATTAGGAGCTCTACAAACAGCTGGTGGGAGAAATTCTTTCTCAAAAGTCTTAAATTGCTTTACTAGCCAATGAACTTAGAAAAGGACCTCCAAGAAGCAGTGGGAAAATTAACTTCCAAATCAAGGTCTTCCTATTTTCCCCTCGAATTTTGCATGGTAGCACCATGGCACAGGGCAATTGGTATCCTATCAAGGCCCAGTGCTCTTTTAGGGACTGGAGGGAGAACAATGGTAACCTTAGCCATGTAATGAAAAACTCAAATATTTTTGTAAGAAACTCTTTTCAGTACATGGAAGCTTAAAGCAATTCTTCAAACAGTAAAAATAAGGCACTATTTTTTACAGGTTTACTCTTAGTGGGACTTTTTGCTGGGAAAACTTGTTTTCTGTTTTGATTTGGTTTGGGTTCTACTTTGATTTAATGGCAATATTGCTAAGGTATGTGAAGTCTGTCAGGATATTTCAATGCTGGTTTTAGCCTCTTATGACATGGTTTTAAAATGATCCCTCCCAAGTTCATGCCTTTCCACATTTTACTCTCTTTTCAACAAATAATAATTATCTTTTAAAGTTTCTGCACAACAGAAATTTAAATATTATATAAATACACATGGCAAACTCAGGATATTTCCATGAGTATTAACAAAAATGAAAGTAATCCAAAATTTGGTGAGTTCATATCATGAAAGTTTTACATTTGCCATTCGCAACAAAAGCTGAATATGGTATGTAAACTAGCTAACTGTACTGTACTTTCAGAAAAGACCTGAGGGCAATTGAATGTTTTATATCTGGAGGCTTTGAGTGACTAATACTAATACCATGTGCAATAGACTGATAGCTCCAAGTTAATCTACGGCTGTTTACAGTAGTCTACTTACAAAATGAAGTGAGAAGTGAGGATATCTGGGAGTTCAGGAATGAGCTGATCAAGTTTTTGACTGCTCCAGTGATTTATGGCAGGTATTCTGAGCTTGACAGACTTGGAACTGATACTACACCTTTCCTTCTCTTTGATTTTTCTTCATCCATTTTTTAATTTTTCTTTTGAAATTGTGTTTTCTTAGTAGTTCTCTTTAGTTATTTGTGATTTCTTGAGTCTAATTTAGAGTCTTTTGCCTTCTTGGAATAAAAGGCTCCTAAGCCATGTAAATGCTTGAAAATATAGTGTTCATTTCTATCTAAGGTATTCTGTGATTTTTAGAGGCAAAAAACAGTCTTTAAAAGATTGTGTCCCTTAAGAACCAGAAAGCAAAATAAAATTAAACCTTTAATCCTTTGTATTTTTAATTTTAATTGTCTTTTTATTGTTAGCAACATTTTTGGGTTTTGAAGCTATAATGATAAATACTTCCTGAAAGAAGACAAGTTTCTATAAATATTTTTCCCTTTCCATTTGAGGTCAGGTTATTAATTTTACTACAATCATCATAATTTTTAATATTATTATAGATAAAATCTGTTTGCATAGTTAAATCAGGGAAAATCTAGTCAGTAGACCTCTGAGAAAGTCTTGCTTTTCCTGTGTAAACACTGTGGGAATGTGACTGACAGTATACTGATCCTTTTATTGGTACACTGTCTCACTGGAAAATCAAAGATGACTTCTTACTCTTCTTCTTTTTTCTTTTTTACTCTTCTATCCCATCTCAGTCTTTTAACAGATTTTTCCACATCTGATAGCTTATGATGAAAGCAGATTATGTTGTCAGTGGTGCACATTGGAACTGTCCATTTCCCTGCTTAGCACTCTAGTTGGTCCTCCCCATTGAGCCTTTCCTGCCCTTAATTACTTAAATACAACTTTACACAATGGGCATATCAGCCCAGAAGGGCTCAATATAGAGAGCTTTTGCCTCTTCAAACTCACCCCCATAAGTATTTGTAGAAATGAAATCTCATAACCCTGTTTCTCAAATTTATGTTGCAATTAAAAACAAAGTCACTTCTGAATTTTATTTCTCTAACTCAGCTTCTATCTTGCAGGTTTTATCCTTCTATTCATCATTTTATCCCTCCATCAATCAATAAATTTCAATTGTCTAGCAATTTCAGCAGGCCGACAAAGGAAATCAAATGTACCAAACACCACCATGCTCCCTAATAAAAAAAAAAATACATTCCTAGGGAAAGTTACAAAAATTTTTTCATTACAGAGGATCTTACAAAAAGATGAGGCAAAGAGAAGTGTGGAAAAAGGCTTAGGGACATCTTGAGTGTGTCAACACAATTATCCTGTTGCTGACAAGAGAAGTTAAAACCACATAGCACTGACTTCTACAATAAAGTCTTCCCTGACACAAGTCAAGGTGCAGCTGAAAAGCAGAACACATGCAATCTAGATCAGGTTAGCAATCAAGACCCTGAATCTTAACATTGTTTCAACATTTTTCAAGTATTTTTAAAGTCTGTAAACCCCTTTGGATGTTCATCGCTTCACAGAAATAGATAAATTGGAAAAAAGAAAAAAAATAAGAAAAAAAAGATGGACCACTGTATCAAAGGAAATATCAAGTTATTTGAGTCATTCCTTCTAGGTCCCAACCCTTTGCTAAGCAAAATGTGGTTACATAAAAATTGATATAAAGATCTCTTCTTATTCTTTCTTTTTCTCAGAGTGTCCTGTTGGGTTAGATTTCCGTTCCACCATAGGCACATTTAAAATGTTCCATTATTTTTCACTGACATTTCTCTACATTACATTGGTTCAGGTTGTAATTTGGTTGTCTGAGGATTTCATCAAATTCAAATGGCACTTTGAATTTCTTTCTTTACAATTCCATTATTTCATAGTTCAAGTCTTATGAGAGTTTGCTTTTCTATTCTTATTGGCTGATCTTTTGTGGCACCGCGAATAAAACATGTATTTGCACACATCTGAGACTACAAGACCATCATTCTGTGATGAGATGGGAATGAACAAATGGCTGCTTCAGTGTGATGCATCTTGATGATGCTATTATAGTTGGGGACGGTTCAATACA